GATTCGAGCTTCCAATCGGCATCCGCAAGCCCCTCCATCGCTACCCACTGGCATTGGTGGGGGAGGCTCTTGGCAGCAGCTATCGCGCAGTAGTATGATGCCATGGCACCTGGGGCTTGGACCACAAATCACCGCAAAACACACTGCGAACGGAGGACGGGAACAAGGTGGGAGGGACGTTGGAAGGAGGGACAGTGACAAGAAGAAGCCTCAGATGGCGGATTGGACTGGGCTGCCCGAGATTGGATGGAACACAGCATTCACAGGCTGTGTGTGCTTGGCTTTGCTTCAAGGTTGTCGGCGCCCTCCTCTTCACTCGAGCCGCCTCATGTTCCTGGCTTCTGATAGCTCTAACAAGTTCCTTTTCCAGTCCCTTCCCCCATGCTCCCGAAGCTTGGAAGAACGCAGTACGCCGTCGTGTTGCCCCTCCACCGTCTCCAGCCCTCATCAAAGCCCCTCCTTTTCTTTACTGCCCTTGCTTGTGTCATATCTCTCTCCTTATTTCAATAGACCATCCCCCTTCCCTCCTGTCAACACAACTTTGCTTTGCTTCTGCATGCGCAAACCCCACTTCACCTTGGCCAAGTCACTAAAACTGTCTCTACAGACTCACAACGAATAAATACTACTGAGTATCAAAAGAGGAGAGAGAACACAAGAGGCACAAGTCAGTCAGTCAATATGCTCGACGCCAGGTCCTACTCGCTGCTGGTCGGCCTGCTTGTGTTGGTATGCCTTGCCCAGCCAACCTACGCCTTTGGGGCTGGTAACATCGCCAGCATTTCCAAGGTCGAGGGCCAGAACTGTGAGTCCCCCTTCATCCGCCAATGAATGCTAGGCAGAGCAGGTCCACTAACTTTGCGGTCACAAAGGGCGCCACGGCGATATTGAAGATGCTCTCCTTACCCTCGCCATGGCCCGCGCGATTGGCGGCAAGAAGTTCAGCAAGATGATGGTTTCCCGTGTCTACTTTGGCAACTGGCTCAGAGATTATTCTCAGGCCATCGATGTCGGTACCGTCAAGTCTGTCTCCGCCGAGGCCATCCGCCTCCTTCTCTGTGTCTTGGGTTTCTTGACCTTTGGCTACGGATCCAAGGAGTTCGAGGTGACGGCCGACCGCCTAGGCTGCTACCGTCCCGAGGACCACATCGACAACCCCAAGAACTATGCCGACAACGAAGATGCCCGCCAGTACGATCGCCGTCTGAGAGGTCCTGTCGATGAGAACGTTGAGCTTAGCATTGACCGCGAGTCCGGCATGAAGAACTACATTGCGAACGAGCAGGCTGGTATCATGACCTCTGCCGCTCACATTCGCAACCTGTTTTCCCGCTGCATCGAGCTGGCCAGAGGATACTCCCGTAATAAGAATGAGGCTGATCTCTACGAGGCCATGCGCCTCATGGGAACTGGTCTGCATTGCTTGGAAGGTGCGCCGATCAATCACGTACCGCCACGGAAACATCTCTTCAGGATATTCGCTAACAAGGTGGTGAACAGACTTCTTCGCCCACAGCAACTATTGCGAGCTTGCCCTGATCGAGCTTGGTGAGCGCGATGTCTTCCCCCATGTGGGCCGTGACACTCAAATTCAACTGAACGGAGCTAGAGGCAACGTCTACCCGATTGTCACTGGTACCTTTGGTGGTGTTGACTTCCTTCACTCTGTCACTGGCGAAGGTAAACATCCTTGAAATGCCCAAAACATGACCAATACTGATAGTACTACAGTTTCCGACAAGCTGACTCAGAATGAGATTGAGGAGCTCGAGGGTACTCTCCAGGAGAGCAAGAACAACGATACCAGCATCCTGCGAAACCTTCTGGACATGATTCCCGATGGATTCTTTGGTGGTAAGCACCAGAGCAACCGGGTGGACGAGCTCCAGAGCAACGCAACCTCGTCGCAGCTCCAGAATATGCAGGTCTCCCCTAGAGAGCCCGAGGAGTATACCCGATACATCCAGAATGTTTTCAAGCAGATCATGCCGGCCATCGAGTTCCATGACGAAATCTTGCAGGGAATCTCTGAGGCCATTGAGAAGATTCCTGTGTTGCCCAAGATTCTTGAGCAGCTCGAGGAGCAGCTGTCCAAGTTTGTCTTCTCAGTCATTGCCCCCTTTATTCTTCCCGTCATCAACCAGATCCGCAACGAGCTGCGCACCGGTTCTGCCGAGATTATTGAGAGCAGTGAGAAGGAGCAGCACATTGTCTTTGACGATGACCGCAGCACTGACCCTACACACTCCATGTTGTCCAAGGACCACTTCACCAATGTAAGTAATACACTTTGGAGCGGACGAGAACAGGGACTAATACTTGATAGATCCTGAACGAGGTCGCCGGCCGCTGTGCTGCCAAGACCCTCCATTGGGTTGTGCCTCAGCTTATGGAAGCCATCGATAACGACAACATCGATGTTAACCGCACCTTGAACCGCATTATCTTTGGTGTTCTGCACCACCCTGCACAGCGCGACATGGGAGATGATGGCGCTCGTGAGGGCCGGCAACAGATCTTCCAGTTCTTCGAGGAGTGGTGGAACAACATGGATAGAAGCCAGCAGGATGACTACCGCCGCAAGCTGAGCCGCGAGGGTGTTCAGCGCGGCGAGAACCATAAGGAGGGTGTCCACGATACTGGGCACGGCCACGGCTGCAGCGGAAAGCTCCACATGCGCAAGCAATTTGGCGAGCCCACTACCTGGGAAGACAAGGTTGCCGACCAAGCTGCGGGCGCCATTCTCGAAGGCGCTTCTGGTGCAATCGCAAACCTCGTTGGTCAGCAGACTGGGGTTAAGGTCCCCACGTACAAGCACCAGCAAGAGGAGGAGGAGAGCGGTGGTGGCGGAGGTGGTCCTGGGGGTCTCATTGGATCCATTCTTGGTGGCGTCTTCAAGAAGGACGAGACGGAGACCCAGCACAGCAGTCGCCGTGACGATGATGGCGGCTACACCCAGACCACGACTGAGTATGGTCACCACGGGAACAAGTACGGCCAGGCTGAGTATAGTGAGACCCAGTACCCTGGCGGCGGCAGCCGCACCGAGTACCGAAAGTACGAGCAGGAAGACAGCTATGGCGGACGTCGAACCAGCGGCCGTGAGTACGAGGAAACCACGGAGTCCCGTCCCTCTTACGGCGGTGGCTACGAACAGCGCACTGAGACTCACCGATATGAGGGCAACACTGAGTCCGGCTATGGTGGTGGCCGACGTGACGACAACGAGGGCGGCTACGGCGGCCGTCAGCAAGAGGAGAGCAACTATGGAGGCGCTTACGGTGGCGGTAGACGCGATGATAATGATGGGGGCTACGGCGGTGGCCGTCGTGAGGAAAGCAGCTACGGCCGCCAGGAGCAGAGCTACGGCCGCCAGGAGCAGAGCTACGGTCGCCAAGAGCAGAGCTACGGCCGCCAGGAGCAGAGTTACGGTCGCCAAGAGCAGAGTTACGGTAGTGGACGTCGTCATGACGAGGGCGGCTATGGCGGCGATGGTGGCTATGGAGGTAGCCGCCAAGAGGAGAGCTATAGCGGCGGTCGTCGTGAGGAGAGCGGCTACGGAGGCGGTAGACGCGACGACAATGAGGACAGCTATGGGCGCCAGGAGGAGCACCATGGCCGTCGCCGTGACGACGATGATGAGCGCCGTGAGGGTGGTGGTGGCGGCTTTGGCGACTTCATTGGCGAGGTGGCTAAACAGTTTGGCGACAATAACAATAACAACAACCGCAGATGGTAGGATCGCTGTGGCTGTTTCTCTTGATGCTTGGCAAACCTTGCTGCCGGCTGCACTTTGGTAGATGACGAATGGCTTATGAACAAGGGTAGCTTGAGGGTAAGCTACGGGTACAGGGTCAACAAAACAATGACAAAAAATCTTGCTGCAAGTGACAAACACACGATGAATGTGTATTCTACGTTCCTTGAGGGTCGAAGGCTCAGGACCACCCGCGGTTGTTGATTTCATGGAACACACCTCTATCATTTGCTCTACTTGGGTAATACTCATCTGTAGTTGCCGTTGACAGATTGAGTGACGTTCGACTTTGAGTCACTTACGGCAGTTAAGTGCCGGGTGAATTTCCTCTGATGCATCCATCGAGCAACGGGAGGGTCAAGCCGACTGATCTCTCACCAGATGGAGAATGGAGACCCTGCCAGATACGTTCCGAATGCTGTCCTGTCTAGTGTCTAGATAGACGACACGACATGGCAGCATCGCCAACGACACAGGTTTGCAGGGAAGGCGTAGTAAGACCCGATCGACCGCGGGAACGTTTGGTGCCACTGAAAGCACGCCCCCCTCCCTCCGGTGGTGACTGACATGGATATTGAGGTGGTTAGAAGGAAGTCATGTTAACTTTGGGTTCGGTGTTGTTGTGGTCTCATTTCTGGTGGATTAGAGTAAACTCAGTCAGGCTGGGATCCGTGGGTGATTTCCTTACCTGCGTACCTATGCACGCCTTGGAGAAATGGACGTAACCGGGTCTAGATCACAGTCTCGAAGTTTTTCCTCTGCACTGAAGTAGTACTTACGCTTGCTCTTGTGAGCGTGAGTGGGGGTGGATTGTCGTTGTTCTTTCGGTGCGGGTAAATTTTGGTAATGTCATATAGATCCGTCCATCTTTCATCTCCCACCCTCTCTCTTCCGTTGATGGAACAAAAGAGCGGGAGAGGAAATCAACGGAGGAAGAGAAAAACCAGTCTTGACAACAGGCAACGGGACGGAGATGGACTTCCTTCTCTGGGGCTTCATATGTTGTCCTCCTCGCTCTTCCGTCGCTAGCCAGATGATCCTACTCTATATTGTATGTGAATTACGATACATTCCGCCCTTGACTCTGCTCAATTGTGTATATATTGTTCGATTGTATATAATAGCTGCAACGCTGACAACCAAGGTTAACAAAGACAAGCAACTCATCACACATCCCGCCCAGTGTACCACGAGAAACCGAACACAGTTACAGATATCCCAGCCCAGCAAGACACACTCAAAAATGCAACTTGCACACCCCCTCACCCTCCTATTCCCGCTCGTCCTGCCGTCCACGGCGCAAGCCCAGTCCTCGGGCACAGGCTCAACAACCCACTACTGGGACTGCTGCAAGCACTCGTGCGCCTGGCTAGGCAAAACCTCCTCCCTCGCCGCAAGGGCCGGGACGATATGCGACCGTGACGACAACCCCCTCTCGGACGGCGGCGCCACGTGCAGCGGATGCGACCCGGGCAGCGCGGCCTACATGTGCAGCGCCCAGTCGCCGTGGCTGGGAATAAGATGGTTGTGCAGTTTACAAATACGGGCGGTGACTTGGGCCAGAACCATTTCGATATTGCCGTGAATTTTTTTTCCTTCCTCCCCTCGGCTTCGCCTTTGCCACCTGTAGGCTACAAATCTTGGGGACCGTCGAAAATGCAGTGGGGGCCGAGAGGAGGTCGGCGGCCCCGAATAAGTGACCGTTTCCGTAATAAGATTGCGGGAAGGAAGCCGTATCCAGGCTGGGCCCTACAAATGTGGCAGAGGGATCCAAGACCACTTCCCACCGATACAAAAGATTAGAGGAGAAAACAATCAAACCCTTGCTAACAATGTATTCTATCAACAGATCCCCGGTGGCGGCGTGGGCCAGTTCGACGCCTGCACGGATCAGTACGGAGCGCCGGCCAACGGGTGGGGCCAGCGGTATGGCGGAGTCAGCTCTCGGGCCGAGTGCGACGGGTTCCCGGCAAAGTCCAAGGCCGGGTGCTACTGGCGCTTCTACTGGTTCAAGGGTATCAATAACCCGAGCGTCTCCTTCCGTCAGGTGACTTGCCCGGCGGAGATTACCAGTAAGAGCGGCCGCAGGCGACAGTGATGGGATCGAGTGACGGGCCGAATGTTCTCCCAGGTTGAGATTCAAAATTCCAGCGCTGGAGTTAACTACAGTCTCCTCTACAATCTGGAAGCCTGAAGGTCGGTGAACTGTCCTTGGAGCATGTAAAGTAGCTGACGTCCGCAGCCCGCAAGCCATTGGGTCATCTGATATCAAAAGTCACGAGCAATACCTGAGCGACCCCAGCCTCGAACGCCTGGGCAAGCCTTTCGTCTCGTAGCTTCGTGGGCGTTGGTGCCAACGTTGATTGAGAGGCTTGATGGCGAGCTCTTCGCAAAAAAAAAAAAAAAAAAAAGCCGAAACACGCGGCTCGCGGAGAGTTTGATAAGCGGTGCATTGAGGAGACCCATGTTACGTCGGTGGTGGTATGCGTTAACAAAGGCGAATAGATTTGCCCCTCACGCCGTCACGCTCTCCCAGTGAGGCTCACCACAAGCACTTCATGACATGAAGCACACCTGCACTAGCCATCTTGGTGCCTCCCGGTGTCATCGCTGCTATCAAGGCTGGCTGTGCTTCGTGGCTGTGGTCTGGGCAGGTGACGGGCAACCGTCAAAAATTTTGAGGCCACAGCCTTACAATACCTAGGATATATAGCCAAGACAGCGAGGCAAAATATTTACTTGGGAATCGAATCTTGTCCGAGAACTCTAAGGAATCGGGGCACAGTTACGCAAGAAAAACCCTTACTACATCGTGGAGTCTGCCATGGTTGGGCAGAAGATACGCGGTGGTAGGTAGGATAAAGTCGCAGCCCGTTCAAAGATTTCTCTTGCGTTGCCATTGCTTCGGGTGTATCTGTGTCGCAGCTAGCCTACATACGTTGGCGAATTAAACGACAGACTAGTTCGTGACGTAGGGGGGCCATCGGCTTTTTTTTGCCGGTTTAGACAGGAGAACGGCGCCAGACCGCCGCGTCCGGGAGTCTCCAGATTGCTGAGAGCGGCGCTGGGGAGACTATGGCCGGCTGTCCGGCATCTTCGGCTGGCATAGAAGGAGTCATGGCGATTGTTGGAGGATTGATTATTCAGATTCTTGAGGCAGGCAACATTCCGGACGAGACCATATTAGTTTCGCCGGAATATGTGTTCTCCATTGGCAAGGGTACAGCAGTAAAATTGCTAGCCACAGGTGTGGGAGATCCCAGTGGATCTGACCCGGGTAGCAGCCAATGTTTCAATGACGTCTGCTTGGGTACCCGCGTCTGTGAGGGGAACCTAGCGCTGGTACGGAGTACTCTTCATGTACCTTTGCTTCAGAGTTCAAGATGCCTTAGTCCGGACGCCGAAGGAAGTTTGTAGAGTGGCATCACGACAATGGAGGTGAAATAAAGACCATGGCCTGCTGGACTATCTTACCCGGAAGTCATTTGTTGACATGGTGTCTCCGGGAAGCATATTGGCATCTGAAGGAAGAGCCAAACGCGACGAGGTAGGTATGAATTCGGGACGCCAAGAACGGTCGAGCGGCAAGTCATCGGAACTAGAAGGGGGTATGGTCGCTAGAAGCCTTTTCCGCCGACTGACTTGCAGCAGGAGAAACATCATAGGATCCCGGGTGCTGATGTTTGGTGCCGGTTTCCATCCTGCCTCTGGTCCAGGGGAAAGCACTGGCCGGATCGAGGAAAATACTACGCAGGCCACGCAATGTAGGCTGCCGATAGTCGAGCGCCAGGGGCGGTCTGAGATTGCGCGTCCAGGCTATTGGAGGCATACGTCTTGCAACGGTGCTGTTTGGCAAGGGCATCGAGTTGAGCCGCAAACACCCTCAAGTTGGCGTTGTGCTACTTGCGCAAATGATACGATGCCATGTTGTGTCTCGGAGCAGTGATGCAAAGCTGTCTGTGATATGCACCAGAGCTTGCTAATCATGGCATTCAGAAGAAAAGCTGCCTGAGACGTAAATCGGGCAGGTGCTATATAGCGCAAAGTATTGTACTGCAAGCGTTAATCGTATAGAGAGCCATGCAAGGGGTGCAATAAGACCGTGAGAACCGAGAGAGTGAATGCCGAGAACGACCGGACGGACGGGGTCAAGCTGTCACGCACATCGGCTGGTGCAAAACGTCTGGAACTGTCGGCACAACTTGCCCATCAATAGAGACCCGGCCCGCGTAATGGCAGAAACTCAAATTCTAAGGGGGGAAAGGGGGTGGAGGGGAGGATTGCGATGCGGCGAGGCTAGGAGGAGGCAAACCTCACCGTCGTAGACTGGTCATTAGATAGGGCATTGTGGTACCGTCTTGGCCAGCCTGAACGGAGTGGTGCTGCTGTCCGTATCCGAAGGACGCGCCAACGCCTAAAGCAGATGGCGTCCCTTTTCCCTCTTTGGCTTTTTCTCTTCCACGCTAAGACACATAGTGCTAGCCTGGCATTTTAGCGGGGGAGACCTGGTGAGAGGCCACGAATCGATCCCCGGATGAGAAGACAAGGAACTTAGGAAGACCTTTCTTTGGGGCTCTCAATGTGGAACCGGGCCAGGTTAGGTCCGTAGAGGGCAACTTGTAACGGGAGCCGGCACGGAGAACTGGCTAGGTCGTTGAAAGATCAGACAAGCTTCGAGGCAACAAAAAGCTTGGCCGTCACGCCGTGATGACAAGCGATCCGATGGGCGTCAGGCGAGGGATTGGGCTGGGGATGCCGCGTATCCGTAGCCGTGTGATGTGCAGGCTAACACGGCACGGCGGGGGACATGTAATGAGACTGTTTTACTTTTTCCTTTGATTGTTGGTGCCGTGCGGTGACCAACACCAACGCAACGGCAAGAACGGCAACAGAGTGATGGATTTGCAGATGGGAACGGATGTGGTTTGTTGATAGTCTGTAGTCTGTACGAATAGTCAGTCGCACAAGCAGATGCAGGGCTGCAGGTGCTTGCAGGTACATGGTTCCAGGGACCATTTGTAGCCAGATATAGCCGCTTTGGTGGTTGGAAAAGTTGTTGGTTTTATCTGCTCGCCGGCATCCCGCAACGATTGCTGGCGGTTGTGGTGGTTGTGTCGTGATAAGAGTCCGGTTCTTCGGCTCGAGAGTGCTGGGATGGTATCGGTTAGTGCTTGCCCGGCTTCAACACACATGGGGGCAAGTGATACCTAGAATGTACCGTGATTCCATGCTATGCGGGGCGTCTGGCTGAGGTGAGCAGCCTCCCTCGAGTAAGGAACGATCCTTGTCCAGGCGCTTTCTGGCCTGTCTGAAGGAGTCTGAGGAAGTCCTCCGCAGAGTACCTTACGTAAGTCATCTCGTGTGTACGTACACCGGCAGGCACATGCCGGTGCAACTTTTCTCTCCCATAATATCCCTTACTTCCGAATGGTCCGCCGTGTTTCCTTTTGCCTTGTCGAACTCGGGACGCTGTAAATCCTCTGAAGCGCAGGTGAAGTGTGCTCGCCGGCCTCCTGGCTGGCTACCGGGCAACTTTTAACTGTCTCCACCGCGATCCACTCCACCATCTCTGCCAGCCTACCAAATTTTTGGCTGCGTATTATTTGCGTTCAATTCCATCCGTGCATCACATAGAGTCCCTCAACTGTCTTGAGTCCTTGACTCTGTTGCTGCATTTACGCCGTACTCTATCCAACCCTCTCTGATCGACTCGTGTCCACAATCATCTGTCGATGGTACTGGTCGGAACTCGAGTCACTCTGACCAATCGCTGGGCAGAGCATCCTGCAACATACGGCTCTCTTCCTCGTAATCATCAAAGCAGAAGACAACCCGCGTATTAAAGGATGTAGACGCCAGCTGGAACGCCAGCGGCTACGGCAAGGAAGGTAGCTAACGGTGTGCGGTGGCTACGCGCATGGCAAGCAAGGTACTTCAAGAGTACCTCCTGTTCCCTCTCTGGGACAGGCGTGTAGCGACGATGAGGACGAGGACAAGTGCGAGGACAGGGCAGGGAGGCTGTGCATTAGTTCCCTACTTTAGAGCATACATGCAAAGTGCGGCAAGGAAGGGTATGGACAAAGTACCTTATGGTCTCCTCCTCAGTGCCCGACGCTGCAGACTACCGACGGTCTGATACCTAGAGCTCGGCTGCGGATACCTGTCCTGTGCTCATCTATCATGTACCTCAGTACCTGCGTAGCCCGCCCCATGCCCCATGCGCCATGCTCCAGCCTTTGGGTCGGTCGGTCGTCCTTCGTCCAGTCTGTCTGCCACCCGGCCACCACCCTTCTCCCAGACCCCCCCAACCTGGACCTGGACCTGACCTTGCTTTCCCTTTGACCTGATCAGTGTGTACTATGGTACGAATACAGAGCGCACCTGCAGCAGCGCACTGGGAACGACCTGACCTGAACCCCGCTTGGCATTGAAAATCACGCCTGCCCCAGCTCGCTGGCCTTCCGTTCATCGGTTCTTCCTCAGCTAGCCTTTTGATCGGCTTTTACCTGCCATTTCACCAATTTCATCACCTTCGACTCGGATCTCAGTTCGACACAGTCTTTAAGGATTCAAAACCTAGGCTTCACCTTGAATCGACTTACTGCAACCATCTTTCTGTCCGACGTCCTCAGACCGATTCCGCCCTGAATCCATTTACCAAGTTTCCGACGAAGCCATTTCCCGGGCACTTCCGTTTCGCTCATCGGTTCTATTATCTCACCTGAAAGCTGTCGTTCATTCCCTTTCCGAGCAGCCACCCGGGATTTACTCACGAGGTTGATGGTTTAAATACCCTCAACCCATTCGTTGAACATGTGAGGGAAGCATGTGTAAGTTGTTATATACCTTTTCATATTCATTACAAAACACACGAAAGAGAATCAAGCCTCTGGCTGGGTCGTCTTACCCGTAGTAAGAAGCAAACGACTGCCTTGCTCTCTTTTCGCGGCGGCCAAGACGTGCCAGAATCCCCCGGTCTTGGCACAACTCACTGACGTCTCACAGCTCTCGAACAGATTCGAAATGTCGTGTATGTCTCAGCAAAACTCCTTTCAGATATTCGCTGCTTTCGATGCTATCGTCCCCGTTGCCCTCATTGATGCGCACGCTTTTCTGCTGCTTTTCTGTTGACTCCTCGCCATCTCGTCGCACCACGTTGCAGCAGCCTTGGCCCGCGTCACTATGCCTCGCAGCGCCTCTGTGGGCAGACCTTGGCGCGATTGCCTCACCACCCGCATTTCCCCAAGCTCGACCTGCGTACCTCCCACCTCCAGCTAACCTTTACACAGTCTGCTGTTCAGTAACCCTGTTTGGTCGGGCGCAAACACGATCCCCTCGACTCTCATCAAGAACATCACCTCTCTGTCGGTACGTCTCGTCGCTTCCATTCTCGGTTCAAGTCTTCGTCTAAACCAAGTGCATAGAGCAAGATAGCCTACCAGGACACCATCACAGCAAACCTCACTACGCTGAGTTCGATAAATTCAGAGACGCAAAATGGCATGATTCGAGGTTTACTATACGTTCCCGATCTCAGCGTTACAAACCCATGTTTCGAGCAGCAGTACGACATCATACCCCGAAATGCTACCACGCAGGCAGAACTTCCTCCTACCAATTACAATCTAATTGCCATTGCGCCATGGTTCAATGCGACATGCACAAAGGCGTATCTTGCGTCCGCACGCCTCGATCCCATCCGCGCCTTCATCTTTTACCGCCCCAATAATTCGACGAACGAGCCACAAGGCGCCGACTCACCGATATGGGATCTTGATGACGGCGATGCATGGCGTACCCAGAATCGCTTTCCGATTTTCGCCGTACCCGGCACCGAGGGCATAAAATTTATGAAGCAGCTTAGCCTCTATTCTGGGAACATATCTGAGATTCCTCATGGAGAGGAAATCCAGAAAATCTACGACGCTCATGGCAACGACTATATCCGCATATGGACAGAGCTAACCATCAAGGACCATGATAGCGTCCCAGCCATGTGGACATGGATTCTCACAGTCGTCGGCGTTGTACTTTTCATCATCGCCTGTCTTTCACTTACGATGCATCTGGTACAAAGAAGACGGAGAATCTCATTACGAAAGAGGGTACTGAGCGGGGAGGTCGACCTGGAAGCGATGGGAATCAAACGAATAACCGTACCCGTTGATCACGCCAAGGGCTTTCCTCTTTTCACGTACAGTTACCAGCCGGAAATGATCAGCTCACCATGCACAACGAGGCCACCCAGATCTGTTAGGTCACCGCGAAGCATGCTGACTGACCAACGAACCATATCCGAGTCAGCCTTTCCGAGATCGAGGGCACGAAGAGCTAGCGTTAATAGCTCAAAGAGCACCGTCGCCACAAACTATCAGCCCCAATGCCACATTTGCTTAGAGAACTACGTGGATCGCGAATCCATTATCCGAGAACTACCTTGCGGTCACATCTTCCACCCCGAGTGTATCGACGAATTCCTTGGTCTCAACAGCTCATTGTGCCCAATCTGTAAGAGGAATATGCTGCCAGTGAGCTACTGTCCCAAGATTACCAACGGCATGGTACGTCGCGAGCGGGCCATTCGACGATTGAGGGAACGGGTGGTATTTGACGATTCAGACGACGAAGGGGGGGAAGTGAAAAGCAAACGTTGGGGCAAGCGGCTATTCGGTACGGACAAAGCGGCATCATATGCGACAGAAACGCCCATGACACCCGTCCTGACTTCCAAGTCTCCGAAAACAATCCATGAGGCAGTAAACGTCGAGACTTCTGTGGATCTTGAAGCTGCACCCCTGTCAACCATACAACGTGTCCTCGAACCGACGCAAGAGGAGCAAGAAGATTCGGACCAACCCTCAAGCCAATCTGACGGTCAAGAACCACAGCGTCAGCAACCTGAACCGCTCAGACAAACTGCGGCAGGTCCGGCTACTAATCATAACAAACGCCGGAAAGGAGGTGGGTTGCGGCTTCATATGCCTGGATCGGACTCTCAACAGAACCATCCACGACCAGAAGGACGCAAGAGCCCGTCTCAGCTGGCACGAGCACGAATGAGGGCACTCGCTGGTACACCCTTGGATGACCCAGATGGCCGCAATCCAGCTTGTAAGTATGAATTGTGTGTGTCACTGGTACCTTTTTCTGACCTTTAATGCAGGGAAACGCTATGTCGTAAAGGTTTTCCCAGGATTTTCATGAGAGTCGCATGCACTGGAAGCATTTCATCAGATTCGGAGTCGCATGGCGTAAAGGTGTTAAGGATCAGGCAGGAGGACTGCCTTTGGAATTTTGAGAGGCAGATAAGGGACCATTATGATGCATATTAACGACACTCCCTGGTTTCCACTCTCCTCAGAGGTGGTAAGGAGACTTTTACTTTCACAATCACGATGATAGACTCAGTGGGCTCGGAATCGCCCTCGGACTGTTACATTTGGCACGGCACTTTTCTCTTGGGCTCCTGCAAAGAGCCCAAGTTTTGGACTGGATATACCCCATTGGCAAGGTTAAGCATCAAAGGCGATTTTAAGGAGGATTAGGGTTGAAAAGTTTGGTAGATTTTGATGACGAACCCCTGTTCACTACCAAGACTACCTAGGTAGCGTGCGTCAGTCGAGGAGCAGGAAACGAAATGAAATCCTCAGACCTGTAAAAGGCCAAAAGAAACACTTGAGAGCATTGGTGTAATGTGTTCCCTTCGTTTGAAGACTGCATATCAAAATTATTCCACCCAATTGTCCTCTAAATTACATAAATTCTCTGCAAGTGGTATTTTCGCTATTATCATTTCATCCGAATCATGGTAAATGCCAGCTTTCATCCCATTTGTTTCGCCAAGCTAAGCCAACTGCTCGTCTCAAGCGCTTCCAGTCCTGCATTATGATAAACTAAAATCCAAACTTTCATTCGATCTTCATGTCTTCTTGGCAGTTGCATCTGCTGCTGTTCTCCCTCATGACGACCGCCCCTCGATGAGCTTGTCATCCTCTTTCGTGCCGCCTCTAGCCAGCGCTTCACGAATACGATCGTTTTCAGCCGCGCGGATCCGCTGGCGAGCCTCTTCGAGCCGCTCAACTCCACGGTCGATAGTTTCGATGTGGACCATCAACGGAATTGCTATAGCCGAATCACGAACGAGCTCGGGAGCGGCGACGCGGTCGCGTAGATCGCCCAGACCGGCCTGGATCTTTTCAAGATCCACGATGAGAGCAGAAATCTGCGCGACGGCTGTGACGCGCTGCCTGTCCACCTGGCGCAAGAGGGACAGCTGGGCGTTGAGGTTGTGCAGGCGTTTATTATTCGCACCGACAAGAGTCCACAGCGTCCAGAGAACCTCGTCGCGACGCGATTTGACCGAATTCGACGAACGAGTGACAATTTCGTAGATTTGGTTCAGATTCTCCTCCGCCTTTGTGAGGAGGAGCAAAACTCCTTGCGCCTCCACTATGAGAGACGAGATGCGGTCAGATACGAGAGCGGTGTGCTCGATATACTTGTCGAGTAGTGTCCGTTCGGAGAAGGGTGTAACTGTGGGAGTAAAGGGGTAGAAAAGCCAGCTGGACCACTGAGAAACCAGGTTCACGTCGGTTGTCTCTGATGCAGAGAGTGTATCAAGATAGCGAGACGTCCAGCGGTTGATTGAGATGACGGAATCCACGGCAGATCCTACATGGACGTTAAATTTTTGCAAGTCGGAGGCCGTCAAGCGGGCGGTATCGATATACTCGTTGAACTCATACACCAGCTCGTCCCGCTGCGGCAATTCTGAATAGCGAACCATGGTACGCAGATCTCGTATCGAAGACTCGGAACGCTTCATCTCCATCGGCAACGATACACCATCGGCACTGCGCTCGAGGACTTGCTCGAATTGTGACTGGACATTCATGAGGTCGTCAAACTCAACGTTGGCAGACTCAGACCCTGACTCCTTGCCTCTGCCCGGCGAAGCGCTGTATGAGGGGCAAAAGGGAAGGTCTAAGTATGCCGCTCCAGGGATACGACAAAGCGGCGAGAGAGACGTTGTGAGTGATTTGGTGACCATGTTCTGAAGCATGATGGAGGCGCCAAAGAAGAGCCAGACTGCCAGGCATAGTGCCAACGGCTTTTGGATATAACCAAGGGCCATACCAATAACTTTGAAAATCCACGCCAAGATGTTGAAGGCGGCACTTGGAAGAGAATCTGCCAGACGCTCCGTCACGGTCTTGTGCTCGGCCGGTCCCTCGTAGTAACCTCTCCCTCTCGTGGGATCACCACGCCGGGGAGCGGTAGGGCTGCCAGTACTGGCTTGCCGTATCGCACGGCGCCGCACGTCCTGCTGCTGATACGAGCCATCACCGGGACGAATAGTCCGCGAAGAGTGGCCGCTGCCGTGCTGGGGACTGTTTCCAATGCCTGACTCGGAACTGAAGCGCATGGATGGCATGATGAACTCCGGCTCAGGAGAGCGGTTGGGGTCTCGCCGAACGGTGGGTTGGAATGGCGAACGGAGGATTACTCGCTCATCATCCGCCTTGTTCATGAAATCTTGGACGCTGTGGTGCGACTCTTGAGAACCGCCGATACTGAATGATTGCGACGGGATCTGCGATGGCTCTGTCAGAAATCCATCGTCGTCTTCCAGGTCGTTGAGGATGGAAGTATCGAAGCTGTCGTTCTCGCCGCCTTCTACCAAGCGCCAAGAGCTCTCGACGGGTAGATCTTGTTGACGACGTGCAGGCATTGTGCCTGACACTGTCTGCGAAGCCTCGAGGACGTGACTGACAGGGCCGTCTTCTGGAATTTAACCCAAAAGATAAGAATCTTGTGTCGTGTCAAGAGATGACGCTTCGTCCATGAGCAAGTCAACACTTTAACATGGGATCTTGAAGTGTATATGATCTCGCGACGCGCCGAGCGCGTAGAGTGGCGAAGTTGATTGCAGGGGTCGGGAGGTGGTAGTTGCCTTGGTGGAAGGCGCAATGTCGATGATTCCGGATATAATAGGTACTAGTGAGTCATTCGACGGGAGCTAATCATAGGAGCGGGTGCAACGGTCGTAGGCCAAGAATAGGCAGAGACAAAGGACGATCGAGGCTTGTTGATGTTTAGAGAAGGTTTACAGTCGTTCTAAACATGTCGCCCTCTGGCGTCATAGGCTCCAGCATCTGCCCCTTGCATGCGCAGCAGCTGTCGTGGGGGGCAGCTTCTGGTGGGTAAGGTAGCTCCTCCGCTGAATCCGCTGAATACTCTGAACTGGCGGCAGCAGGGACCATGTGGCAGCGTGACCCAACACTTAATAAGCTTCGCTTCCCCTTGTCGTCACATGGACCTGGCGATAAGACAGGCGGGAAGGTGCAACGCCCCACGCCGCTTGCCTGCCAGAACGGACCGCGGTGAAACATAAAGCCGCTTTTCTGGGGGACTTCCATTGCACACACGACACTGAGGCTTTGCCCCACTTCGCTCCGGCGCGATTCCATGTCTTGAGGAAAATGGCCTTTACCTCAGCTAGCCTTACTCTGTTTTAACGCCCGTTCCACCCTTTCGACACTGCAACTTGAGCATCTACATCGCGTGCGCCGGAAAATCACTCATCGCCATTTACTTGCGCACAAACTGCCCACGATGTCGACTAGCATGGATCAACGAGAGCTTGAGGCCTGCATTAAGCAGCTCAACAAGGTCGTGCAGGCCAACGAGCCTCCTGCAACCGCTCTGGGCCTCCTGGAACGCCTCAAGAAGGAAGCTGCGCCTACGGAAGAGATGCTTCGGGTACGTCGCGAATTGCACTTCGATACCATCTTGCATGGTCTTGGCATACGACTTTGCTTCACTGTACTTGCTTCTGCGACGGGACAGAACTGACCTCGTTTGTCCTCAAATAGTCTAGCAGAGCCGGTGTTTTCGTCGGCAAGCTTCGGCAGAATTCGAACAAGGAAATCGCCCGTGCCGCCACCGAGCTCGTCCACAAGTGGAAGAGGCTGGTCGAGGCCGAGAAGCAGGGCAAGATCAACAAGGGATCATCTCCCGCTGCTCCGTCACCGACTCAAGCTCCCGCCCCGAAGCCTTCCTCGTCGTCTGCGCTGAACCAGCCCTTCAAGGGCAATACCGAGCTCCGCCGCGCTAAGACCGACGGCGCTGACCCGAAGCGTACCCACGACGCCGTTCGCGATTCCTGTATCGAACTTATCTACAACGGCCTTGCATATCGATCCACCGCTTCTGTCAACGATGTTCTCACCAAGGCCATGGACGTGGAGGCCGCTGCTCACAGTCACTTTAAGGGCGTGAACAAGGAGTACCGTGAGAAGCTGCGCTCCCTTTTCAGCAACCTCAAAGTCAAGAGCAACCGTCAGCTTGGTGTGAATGTCATGGAGGGCAAAATTACCCCACAGCGCTTCGTGGTCATGACCCATGAGGAGCTCAAGTCGGAAGAGCAGAGAAAGAAGGAGGATGCCCTGCAACAGGAGAACATGAAGAAGGCCCAGGTTCCCATGGCCGAGAAGAGCATCAGCGACGCTCTCAAGTGCGGCAAGTGTGGCCAGAAGAAAGTCAGCTACAGCCAGGCGCAGACGCGCAGTGCTGATGAACCGATGACGACATTCTGCGAGTGTACCGTCTGCGGTAACCGCTGGAAGGTTTGTTTGCCATCATTTCATTCTTTTTGCGCCGACTATGCTAACGTCGTCTCAGTTCTCTTGAGCGTGCGATTCTGGAGAGGAAGTTTCGATTTTTTCAACTGACGGCGTGAATTTCCACATATACCCCGTTTTCTGAGGCACGGGATGATGGTCCTGCATTGAGCACTCGGGATTGCGGGCTTGGTTGGTATGGAGTTGGGGAAGAGGAAAGGTCCTCAGTTATTCTACTTTATTAGTTCTTTCTGCCCCTGAACCTTTAAAATTTGGGGCATCTGAGGCATATATGCTTCTCAACGGTTGGCCACACGGAGAGCGAGAATACACTTACGTGCCCGCCCGTCTGGCATTGGTTCACCATGAAATCGGCTTAATTCCGTACCACATATGCTGAACCGTTACTACCTATGTGTTGACTGCACCCTGAACCTTCCGATGTCTCCTGTCGTAAGCGCTCTACTGAGAATCGGGGGAGCGTAAACGGAGTAAGGGAGGATATTATTAGTTTAAAATTACGGCCACAAGATATTCGCCCCGAAAATATAATGTAGCCCTGCAGCAGTCTAAGACCTACTCAGGCGATAGCCGAGCAGCACAAAGAGGGACTTGATCTTTCTATTGATAGTCTATTGTCTTTACTTCTTCGCTGGGTCGATCTTGAGCACCGAGAACAGGTCGGCCGAGTGTTCGTCCTCCTCCAACCCCATCGCCGCCACATGCTTCCAGAACTTGCTGAGATGCCTCGTGCCAGAGTCGCACAGGATGGTGACGACCTGGCTCCCCTCGGGAAGCCTCGAAGCCGCCACGACCGCAGCAACGCAGTTGACAGCGCTGCTGCTGCCAGCAAAGATGCCGTCGTTCTCCACCAGCCACCTCGCCATGCGGCACGCCTGCTCGTCCGTGACCTTAATCGCGTCGTCGATCAGCTCCCTTCCGGCCTCAAAGTTCTCCGTTACGCGGTTGATGCCGATTCCCTCCACGATTGTATCGACCTGCGTCCGCCGCCGCGTGCCCTCCTTCTCAGTGCTGGAGTACATGACGCCGTGCCGGATCTTGTTGTACAGCCCGCTGCCCTGGGGATCCGCCAGCACGACCTGTAGACCCGGCACGTTGGCCTCCTCTTTGAGGTACTTGGCCACGCCAGCGATGGTGCCGCCCGTCCCCGCGCCGGCTACGAAGGCGTCCAGCTTCCCACCGGTCTGGTACACAATCTCCGGGCCCGTGGTGTGCAGGTGCGCAGCAAAGTTGGCCGGGTTCTCAAACTGGTCCGCGAAATACCCTACGCTGCCGTCGCCGGCCTTGGCGGCATGCTCCAGCGCCCGACGGCGGGCGAGGTTGACAAAGTGCTCCGGCGACGCAATGGGCGCAGGGTCTACGCGCTCGACCGTGGCGCCCAGGTGACGGAGCAAATCGACCTTTTCTATGGCCATGTCGTTGGGCATGCAAATGTGTGCGCGGTATCCCCTCGCGCGCGCGAGAGTCGCCAGGGAGATTCCCGTACTGCCAACGGTGCCCTCGTAGATGGTGTCGCCGCGCCCGGGGACGAGCTGCCCCACGGCCTCGGCGCCCTCGATCATGGACAGCGCGACGCGGTCCTTGGGCGTGTTGCCAGCCGCGTTCAGGAACTCGGCCTTTGCGAGGATGACGCGCCCCGTGGCCTCGCTGAGGGAGCGGATTTTGATGAGGGGCGTGTTGCCGATGGCGCCCGCCACACCGTCCGCGATCAGGGGCGGGTTCCAGGCGGCGAAATCCCCTCCGAGGGCGAGGTGAGCTGCCGCCTCCTCAGCCTCGGACGCAGTCTCGTGGTCTTCGAGCTGCACGGGCGGGCCCCAGAAGAGGCTGCTGCGCCGCGAAGGGTCCGCGGAGGAGGTAGTAGGCGCGCGGCGGTTGCGACGGCGCTGATACCGGCGTTCGAGGTCCGGATAAAAGTCTTTGAAGCCCAGCGTGACGAGGATGCCGGCCGTGAAGGCGAGTGCAAGGGCGGCCGAGCCATAGGCTTTGGGATGGTTACTCAGAGACATGTTGTCTGTGTCATGTATCGTGCTCCATCGTCCGCGTCACTTCCCGTGAGGTCTTGTTATTGTTGCTGTTGTCGTTTCTCTCTCGACGAAATGTTTTGCGGTATCGGAAACATAAACAGTGACACGCCCTCGGCGCATGAATTTCCATTATCTTATTCTACAGGGGATTTGCCCGCTAAGCCGGGGGTGATGTCATTTTCGCTCTTCTGGACCCCTGCCTTTCAGCCTCAACGGTACAGAGTACCTCCCTATGCTAGACTTGCAGAGGGCTCACCTCAGACGACGACTCGGGGCCGCCCTTGGCAGGGCCCAGAGTACCATGTGGAGCTGAACATGGAGCTGCGTTACGGCGGATTAACAGCTGCCCCGTGTAGAGGGGAGCTCGGGCCATGCTTGACCTCTGCCAAACCGAATACTCGCGATTTCCACCCGTTTATTGACTTTGCAACGACCCAATTCGACCCGCCGAGAAGTTGTCCCGCTCGAACATCGAAACTCCTCCCGGGATGGACTCCCCTGCCGTCACCCGTCTCTTCCGCGAGCTCTTCCGTCGGCCCGCGTGTCAATCCCGGCGGCAATGTACGACCGCCGCCGGCCTCCCGGCTCTCAATCATCACCACCGTCCTCGTGTCCAACATAGCAACCGCAATGGCGACGGCGTAGCTCCAGGACCGACCCCCTCAAGAACGGCCAATGCCAATGCCAGTGCCTCGGCGTCTTCGGCACAACGGCGGCACTACGCCGTGAAGACTACATCCGAGAAGCAGGAAAAGACAAACGAGTCAAAGTGGCAGCAGCGGACATCCCTCTTCCCGAGCGACCGTGCCGACGAGTTCGACACCTACCCGACCCTCAGCGCCCGCGACCTGGCCGCCCGCTCGACCCGCCCGCGCAAGGTTAAGATGCTCACCCGCGATTTCATCGAGGACAGTCTCTACAATCCGGCCTACGGCTACTTCTCCACCCAGGCCGTCATCTTTTCTCCCGGACAGCCCTTCGACTTCCCCTCCTTCCGCGATGAGCCGCACTTCTACCGCGAGCTGGGCCGGCAGTACACCGAGTTTGAGGACGACCTCGACGACAAAGAGGGTGTCAACGATGCGCGCCCCCTGTGGCACACGCCCACCGAGCTCTTCCGCCCTTACTACGGCGAGGCCATCGCCCGCTACCTCGTCTCCAACTACCGTCTCACGACGTACCCCTATCACGACCTCATCATCTACGAGATGGGCGCCGGCCGCGGCACCCTCATGCTCAACATTCTCGACTACATCCGCGACCTCGATCCCCAGGTCTACGCCCGCACCCAGTACCGCATCATCGAGATCTCTCCAGCCCTCGCCGCCCTCCAGCGCCACCACCTCCTTTCCACCGCCGACTCCCGCGGCCACGCCAGCAAGGTCGAGATCATCAACCAGTCCATCTTTTCCTGGTCCGAACGCGTCCCCTCCCCTTGCTTCTTCCTCGCCATGGAGGTCTTTGACAACTTCTCCCACGACGTCGTCCGCTACGACCTCGCGACAGAGGAACCTCTCCAGGGCTCCGTCCTCGTCGACGCAGACAACGACCTCTACGAATTCTACTCCCCCGATCTCGACCCCGTCCTCGCCCGCTTTCTCCGCGTCCGCCACGCGGCCACAGGAGGCCGCTACCCGCTCCCGTACCCGGCCAACCGCGTGCTCCGCCACCTCAAGTCGCGCATGCCGCTGATGCCGAACCTCTCGGAGCCCGAGTACATCCCGACCCGCCTCATGCAGTTCTTCGACGTACTGGAAAAGTACTTCCCCGGCCACCGCCTCGTGACGAGCGACTTCCACTCGCTGCCAGACGCCATACCGGGCCTCAACGCCCCCGTGGTCCAGACCCGGTACGAGCGCACGACGGTGCCCGTGACGACGCCTCTGGTAAGTTTACCACTCCGACCTCGCATGCCCGCAAAGATGCCGCAAAGATGCCGCCGCAGAGGCGATGTTGCTAACGAGTCACGCAGGTCCATCAAGGCTACTTTGACATCATGTTCCCTACAGATTTCCAAACCATGGAGGTCATGTACCAAGCCATCACGGGCAAGCTTACGAGGCTCATGTCGCATGGTGACTTCATGCAGCGATGGGCGTTTCTTGAGGACACCCGAACGCGCAGCGGGGAAAATCCTCTGCTGAGCTACTATCAGAACGCAAGCGTGCTGGTTACTGTATGAACAATGTAGAAAAAAAAATATACCCCTTAGACCACGGTAAATTTCGCAATGACATTTTTTTTTTTTTAACTTTGTTTAGATTGCATCCTTAATTTTGTTGGAATACACATTGGTGACAGGGACAGACCCTTGCCATCGCAGTAATTTACTTCTGTCCGGTAATGCCTGAGATCGTAGCATATCCAGTTTCAACTTATGCTCCCGTCCATCTAGACCCCGTGAAAAGTAAATTGGTTGCCAGACATGTCGCAACACATCAGCGGGATATCTCTGTCGCTCAAATGTTGAGCTTCTCCTTCAGCCACTTCTCTGCCTCGGCAACAGCCTCATCCAACTTCTCGGCATTGGTGCCCTGTCCTTGGCGGGTAGGCTCCTTGCCGCCGGACTTGCCTCCAATTACTCCACTGACCTGGGAAGCCCACTGCTCGGCGGTAACGCCCTGCGAGGACAGGTGCTGGATTTCATGTTAGCCTGACTTCATGCTTGTACTGGAAACGCAACTTACAGTGCCAACATAGACGCCGTGAGCAACGGCACCCTCGTTCTTGCTTCCGCCGAAGAGGTAGACAGAGCGCTCCTTGTCCTTGGACTGGAAGTGCTTGACAACTTCGCCAATGGCCTTGGCGTTGGCGGAAATCGGGAGCTGACCAACAAACCACTTCGAGTCCTTGTTCTTCTCAAAGTGTGCAGCAACGGTGTCGAGCGCAGTCTTAGACTCGGCCTTCTGGCGTTTCTTCTGCTCATCAGTGACAGACTTGACAATCTTGTCGAAGCGCTTCTTGATGTCCTCCTTGGTGAGCGTCGAAATAGTCAACTGGTTAAGAGCATGCTGGGTCGACTTGATCTCCTGCTCTTTCTCAGGACCAAAGGGCAACGCCTCAAGTGCATCGAGGCGCTTGGAGAACTCGGCAGCTTCGCGTTGCACTTGGTGTGCAGCATCGCCAGTGTAGGCGATGATGCGACGGATGCCCTTGGCAATACCGCTCTCCTCGACGATGACAAGGTCCTTGATGAGACCGGTCTGCTCAACATGGGTACCACCGCAGAACTCCACGCTGACCTTGCGCCACTCAGAGTTCTTGGGGTTTGCAAGGAGGGCGTCAACATCAACGCCGACGGACACAACACGAACGGGGTTGGGGTACGTCTCGCCGAACACAGCACGAACACCTTCAATACCCTTGGCGAGGTCAAGATCTACCTCCTTGGAATAAATCTTGCCATTTTGGCGGATGTACGAGTTGGAGAAGTCCTCGATCTTCTTGAGCTCAGGAATGGTCACACCAGTCTTATGGGAGAAGTCGAAACGCAGCTTCTCGTTGTCGACCAGGGAGCCCTTCTGGTTAATATCATCGCCGAGAACTTCCCGGAGTGAGTGGTTGAGAATGTGAGTGCCAGTGTGATTGTTGCGGATGGGCGATCTTCTCAGCTCGTCGTACTCGCAGATGACCTCGTTGCCAGAGGATAAGTTGCCGTACTCAAGATATCCGCTGTGGACAATGTAGCCACCAAAGTTCTGAACATCGAGGACCTTGAACTCGGCGACATCGTCAATGACGATGCGACCAGAGTCAGCGACCTGACCACCAGATTCGGCGTAGAAATTGGTCTTGTCCAGCAACAGACCCAAAGGAGTGTTTTCGGCGATACCCTCGGTGGACTTGATGAAGCCCTTGCCGTCATAAATCAGCTGCACCTTGGCCTTTGAGTCACCCTTGACAAACTTGGCCTCATCGTCCGTTCTCGCAATGTTGAGCTGCTTCTCGAGTTCGGCAATTTCGTGGACGCTCAACTTTGCAAACGTCTGTGTAGCATTCTTGACGACCTTGCTGGCCTCGCGGGCCTTCTCCTGGGCAACCTTGACCTCCTCATCGTCGATCTCAAGCTTGCGCTCTTCGGCCATCAGCTTTGTGAGATCCACAGGGAATCCAAACGTGTCGTAAAGTCTCCAAACCTCCGCGCCGGTGAGCTTCTTCTCGCCCTTCTTGACGGCAGCGTTGGCGAACTTCTCGAACTGGGCCTCGCCCCGGTCAAGGGTGCGAGCAAAGGCGGCCTCTTCCTCATCGAGGATCTCGCTGATATCCTGCTGCTTCTTCACAATTTCGGGGAATTGCTCGCCCATTTGGTCGACAAGAGCAGGGAGAATCTTGGAGAAGAAGGAGCCAATCTCGGCGTTGAAGTATTTGCGAGCATAGCGAACACCACGCCGGAGCACTCTCCGGAGAACGTATCCGCGTCCGTCATTGTTGGGGACGGCACCGTCAGACATGGAGAAGGTCAAAAGACGAATATGGTCAGCAACGACACGGTAGGCAGTGTCAATTCCATCCGCATCATCGGCTCCGTACTTGTCGGTGTAGGGTCTAGCGCCAGTGACTTCTTCTATTCTCTTGAACAGCGGCGTGAAGATATCAGTAGCGTAGTTGGAAACGGTATCCTGGAGAGCGGAGACCAGACGCTCGAAACCCATGCCAGTATCAACGTGCTTGGCCGGAAGAGACTTGAGCGACTTATCAGCCTGGCGGTCGTATTGGATGAAAACGTTGTTCCAGATCTCCACGACCATCGGGTCATCCTCGTTGACCAAGTGGGCAGCGTTGCGACCGCCGCCAACCTTGTCGTAGTGAACCTCACTGCAAGGACCGCAAGGGCCCTGATCACCCATCTCCCAGAAATTGTCCTTCATGTTGCCAGGCAAGATGTGGTCGTCGGGGACACCGACGGATTGCCACAAGCTCTTGGCCTCTAGATCGGGCTCGAGACCCATCTCGGGGTTGCCCTCGAAGTAGGAGACGTACAAGCGGGCAGGATCCAGTCCATAGACTTTGGTCAGGAGCTCCCATGACATCTCAATGGCCTCCTTTTTGAAGTAATCCCCGAAGGACCAGTTGCCCAACATCTCGAAAAATGTGTGGTGGTAGCTGTCCTTGCCGACATCGTCGAGATCGTTGTGCTTGCCACCAGCACGAATGCACTTCTGAGAATCGGTCGCACGCTTCAGAGGGTACATGGGATCCGACTTGGAAATCGTTCCGAGGAAAATCGGCTTAAATTGGTTCATGCCCGCATTGGTGAAGAGCAAGGTGGGGTCATTGTGAGGGACGACGGAAGAGGACGGTACTAAGATAAAGCAGATAATATCAGTCAATTGGATCTTCTGGAGCGAAACTGAGGAGCGCGATGACTGGACGAAGCGTAAAAGAGACAGGTTTCACTATCGGGCCGTGTTGGTGAGGGAAAGGGGAAGTCGGTGATACATACCGATCGTGTGGCCCCTCTTCTCGAAGAAGTCGAGGAAAGTCTTGCGCACAACGGCGCCGGGCCACTTTGGCTCAGCCATGACTGCAGTGTGCAATGTCGAAGTAGAGTGGAAGCGCCTGCGAGGAAAAGTAGCACTCGATGCGATGAGTCCAGACGGTGAATGGGTATCTGTCTGGGATCCGACCGACGCTCGAGTCCTCTTGGGAAAAGTGTTTGTTGTTTGTGATGAGGGGAGGGATGATGTTTTATCAGGGTCGGCACAGCTGTGACTCTTTTGGCGGGATGAGCTGCTTGCTAGCGCGGCAGCTGCTTTGCTTCGGGGTAGGAGGGGCAGCGGCGTCCGTGCCAGCGATAGCGGCAGCGTGCCTGGTTGCGGGTGCGGTTGCGGATGTGGCAGGGACGGCGAGAGGTCCAGGTCTGGTGGTCCGGCGCTGTCGTGGAAACTTCTACAAGAATGAGTCAAAGCCAGTACAAAAGCGCCAGAGCTCCCCGGCAGCGGCAGCAGCCCATGACCACGCCCGCCACAGCTGAGCGCCAGAGAACGCGCCCGCGCCCCTCGTACGAGCACAGTAGCAGCGGAGGTCATCCCTCCTCCAACTCTTCCCCCTCACCCTCAAAGATATATCGACGAATTGGATCTGCGCAGGAGAGGCGAGCGAGCTCTACTAGAACCGTCTCCTCTTTTTCTCTCTTCTTTCCCCCTTTCTTTCGCTGATCTGATCGCAACTCTCTCCTTTGGCAACGACAGCAAAATTGGAGAAGAAAAAAAGGCCAACCGATACTGTAAAGCTGCCTCCGTTTCTCGCCGGCCAAAGACCTTAGCACCCCAGAGACATTTGAGCCTTTCGATTGACTTTGGGTCTACCTTCTTCGCTTCGAGACGGGAATATCCCTACCCTTCCGGAAACGGCGATTCGAAATCAGCCGTATCTTTCTCTCTCAATCTCACTTTGAGAAACTCGACCCGATTGGCAGCACCCGTGGACCTCTGCTACGCCCGCTGCTCAGCTGCGCCTGTCGTGTCTCTCTCTGCTGCGATTCTAGTGGCCGCTTCGGGAGTTTGAATAATTGACCATCGCATTTGTTTTCGTTTCTTTTTGTCGTCGTCGTCGTCGGTTAGCAGCTCTGCGAAACAGGGAGCTGGTAGTTGTTCATAGGGGTGGCACACCAGAAGAAGCGGTTAGACGAAAGGCAGAGAGAGGGGGAGAGTGGGAAAGTTCCAGCGAAAGTCGCCGAAATATGTTACTGCACGGGGCCCAATCTCCTTCCCACGCGCTGGAGGCGGATCAGCACCAGCATCCGCAGGCGAGGCAGCTAAGGCGCAAACGAAAAGCTGAGTCCCAGGACAACGAACGTTTGTCCAAAAGGCTCAGTCTTCTAAATCTAGGCAAGTCGACAACCACACCAACCACACGAGAAGCTTCATGTCGTTTTTACGCTAACACCCATTTGCAGAGAAAAATGGCCAGAAGCTCTATGTGCCGGTGGAGGAGCCGACCCCGTCTTCAAGCACCCCAATCCCCGCAGACTCGTCAGCATCCACATCTCCCACCACCACCCGTCGCCGACGTCGTGATCGCGCATCGTACGTCGATGAAGAAGTGATGCAGCTCGACGACTCAAAGCACAAAGTCTACATCTACAACATTGACGACGAGCTATCTTCCTCCGAGAGCGAGCCCGACGAGGGCAAGCTGGTCTTCCTGCCGAATATTGAGAAGCACCTGCGCCAGACGCGCATTCCTCCGTCCATTTTCGCCAACGATGAGGGCCAGCTTGCAGGCATGCAGGTGGTTCTCTATAACGAGCCCGCGTCCTTGACGGTACCCCGTGAGCAGGACAGTGTTCGCAAGGCCATTGTCGAGTCACGCGCTCGTATGCGCGAAAGGCAGCGTCTTGAGCGCGAGGGCAGAGGCGCGCCGGTGCAGATGCCTCCGCCCTTCGTATCTCAGCAACCTGTAGACGCCATCATTCCGGACCCTCCAACCCCGACCGGGATGTCGGCACCTGTTGACTACGATTCCGACGCTATGGATATGGACTAGGAGAACCCTAAAGGCAAGTAATGTTTGTGTATTTTATTGACGGAACCAACGCCGTCACGGATGGGCACGTATTGGTGCAGGATCCCCGGGCACTTTCAGCCAGGTCAGCGAGGCGTTTTTCATTGGTATCATTTCGTTTCGTATCGGTAGAAGTTGCTACTTTGTACAATCAACAGCAATTGTTCGTAAAGCACCCTCGGCCGTCATCTATTGAGACATGCAGCCTCGATGAGTGAGACCTGATGCCATTGCGATGGAGAAGTCACGTCGTCTTGGTTCCCTTCTTTGCTTATATATCCGTCTTGATGACTTCCAGCCTCATCACGTCTTTGAACCGTCTCGACTCTCGTCTTTGGACCCATAATGTATCATCTCCCAACGCTTCAAAAACACCATAACGTCATCCCAATCACACGCAATTCCTGCCTCGACGACTCCCGCCTCACGAAATTCGCCTTACTGCGCCCTGTACGGGTACGGCTGTCCGGTGTGATTTGCCGCGACAGAGCCTTGCGGCGGGGTGACGCCGTACTCCTGTGACGGGTCGACCTTGCTGCCGCCGTCGGGCGGGGCGTACATGGGCGGCCGTGCCGAGTTGGGGTCGTAGGTCGGGGGCGGCATCCCCTGCATGCCGTAGTATCCGCCGCCCTGGGCCTGGGGGTGGGTGTTGTAGTACTCTGGACTATAGGTGTTGTACGTGGCCGCGGGCCAGGCATACCTGCTATCGACGCGGGCGAGCTGCGCGCGGCTGAAGAGCCAGCGGTGGTAGCCCAGGGGCAGGAGACCCTTTCTAAGGCGGCGTTTGCCGTGGGCGTAACCGATGATGAGGAAGGCGGCGAACAGGGTCGTCATGCCGAGGAAGACGGACCACTTTACGATGACGCCCGTCTATTTCAAGAATGTCAGATCCGGGGTGCTGGAGAGCTGCAACAGAGTAATGAGAGGCGGTAGAACCTACCCGACTGTACCACCATGGGATCGCCCGTCCATTCTGTATGACCCAGCCAGGAGGGAGGTCATTCGAGTTGACCACGGTCTGGCGAGCGCTCAAGTATGCGTCCATCTTGTGAGGTTGTGTGCGTGTGTGTGTGTGTGCGTGTACAGGACTCAGTCGCCCCTTTCTTTTCCCCCTCCCTTTTCCCTTCCAATCCAGTCCCCTCGGTACGAAGCAATGGTATTCCGCGATGAAGTCAAGCTTATTATCAGTTCGACCCAATCCTTGATGATAAATGTATTGGCCTAACGGTTATTGTGAAGGGCTGCAGATCAACTACGCCAACCAAAAAAAAAAATGAAAATGAAAATGAAAAAGACGTGGCAATCTTGGCAAAGAAACAGATCTGGACCACCGGGCAAGGGTAGCTATGTAGCTGCACTGGTAAAAAAGAGTGTTTCTGAGATATTGCCAAGACTTTGAGATGCTGCGGGTAGGAGATATATTTGAATCAGGAAAAGGTGATTGGAATAAGTAGAGTTGGAGGAAACTTGGACTACACAATAAGAAGGGAGGCCTACTGCTGCTCCAGCCAGCCCAGCCACTGATACAAGAAATGACACCCCGGGCTTGGATCGTCCGTCCGTCCCCCTGTTGCTCCCCAACCTTTTCCTGTTCTGTTCTCATTTGCTATTTGCTCGGACATGGGGGTGTGGTGCTGCTGCCGTGTCGGTCGGCCTGCCCTGCTGCCTGCTGCAGCATCTTTAACTCTGTTCTCCACGACGCATGGCTGGGCAGGGGGCGGACGGGTGCTGCAGACTTGCAGTGGAAGCGGGCAGGCGAGGTTTGAGAGGTTGGAGGAGGCACATTGGGCCAATGAGCTGCCAATGAGCTGCCAACCTGGTCACCTCACTTTGGTGCATGTGCCCCACACGCTAAGGGGGAGCTCTCTTTCGTTCGTTGGGGAGTCGAGCTGGGATTGCGGTCGTGCAATTCTGCGGCAGCGCTGAAGCACCAAAGCCGTTTCATCCACCTCGGGTCCCGAACGGTGACCACGACGGGGACCCATGGGGACGGGTGGCTTAGATGCCCCTCCAGCACCACCATCAAGGTACTGACACAGAGGGAGTGACAACAACGCCACAACAATGACAAGACACATTGCGAACACTAGACGACACACTCCGAGTACCTTACGATACACAGGACTCTGGATAACAAACACTCGCAAGTTGCCAGCCTCTGAGCGAACCCGCTATCAATACCACCTCACCTCAAAGTTGTCAGGGTCAGTTATCAGGACATGTCAACAATTGCTCAAAAAGGACAGGCTGCAACTTGGTGTAAATCGATGCACTCACTGTCCGAGGCCGCCTCTCTGCTCTCCCCGCTCTCTATCACAGTGTGCTCCGATATTCAGGCCATACCAGACCCGCAGCGGCTGCCGAGAGAGGGACTCTGAAATGCCTAATCCCACCGGCCGAACGCTGTGAGTTCATCGGAACTCGTCTTGCGCGTACGCCGCTGCATCCTCGTTCTCGGTTTTAGGCAACGATTGATTCCCTTTACCAGTACTTTTTCTCGTCGTCCTCCATCCTTGCCCTAACTCAGATATTCATACGCCAATTCTACAAAACAATGTCTATCTCGTAATAACACGTAATGCCACTCACAAAGACAAAAGGAGAGTAATGAATTGGCGTAAGTAGCCGACGTAACGACGTAAGCAACCAAGCAATACCCGCCGTTCTATCCAAACCTCGAAAATCTGCACTACGACACAACCCCCGTCCTCCAACAGAAACATCGGATCAATCGGCCTGCGTCAACCATAACTTTCGTCAGCCGGTCAAGGTTCAGCGAGGCGAGAACGAACAAGGTGTCTATGGATGGGCCCCGGATGCCGGCTCACTTACACCATCATCACTCACCCACCCACACACACACACACACACCTACACACGCATACACTCCAACACAAGAGATTCAACAGGTAATAACAGCTTACCCGGGTGTCGCGAAAACCAACACCCGGGCCCTCAGTAAGGCTTAGTTTAAAGAACAAGCGTAAAAATATGAAGCTTGATTATGAGGCCATGCCATGCATACGCAGAGGGTATACCCTTGTAGAAACATCATCCCACGTCTCATACCCTCAATCCTCTACAGCTTGCACACACCTCTCGCTTTCTAGCAAACGTGATGGAGAGAGAAACAAGCTTGCCGGCAAACAATCGCCGAAAGCACAGGCGACAAATCCCCCTCCCTTTTTTTTTTTTTTTTTTTAACCTGGTCTTTTCCATGTTCAGACCATTACCTGCATTAGGAAATATAGGGCTGCATGTCCACCATCGCCTTTCTCCCAACATGTGCTCGATTCCACTCGGCCGCCAAGCTTCGTTCTAGAGCCGGAACTCAATGGACCGCACAGAATCCCCCTCAGTAAGGCTTGAATGTGTGCAGAGGAAGACAAGAAAGGAAGAAGAAGCAAGAAGCTGCGTGTTACTGAAGCTGTGTGGAAGAAGGCTGATGAACGGGCAAACAGCCAGTGCCCTTGCCGTGTTCTCCATCGCCTCGCAGCCTCGGGCAATCCGAGATTTCAACTCAAGAAAACTCCCGAGTTGGTGAGCCAAAACGCTCGAGACTAGCTGCAGGCGTCACGTAGTCTGCGTGCCGTGATACTCAAATACGATGGGCATCTCCGGCTCCATGTCGTGGACAACGGCAAGCGAAAGCGTGCCCCGTTGGCTCACCCGTCCCTCCACCACCCGGTATCTTCATCGTAGCCAATAATATCAAAGTCGATGTTCATACTCTTGAGCATCGTCCCCATCGTGAACTCCTGTATTCAAGTCAGCATCCCTCCTCGTTCCAACCCATTAATACGAAAGAACGCACCTCATCCTCTTCCTCCTCAACTTCACCCTCGCCCTCATATTCTCCTCCGCCACCGCCCTCCCCACGACCCCGCCGCTCATCTCCCTCCTCCCACTCCTCACCCTGACGACGAACCTTCCCACAGGCCTCTCCCTCCATAAACCTGACCTCATCCTCCCTCTGAGCCCTCCTCCAGGCCCTCAACCCACCCATCCCCTCGACCCTCTCCCTGGATCCTTCAAAAACCTCCTCCGCCGCAATCCGGCTCGCCGCCCTCCACTTGCCAATCAACCCAACCAGCTCCTCGTCCGTCTCCCCCTCTCCCACGCCGCCGCCGCGGATCCGCCCAGCCTGCCGCAGAATCTCCTCCCGACCCTCCGCCTCCCTCTCACTCCTGCTACCACCACCACCACCACCGAGCCCAGCAACAGTTGCGCCTCCTTTCTTGAGACCGTAGGAAGCAGCCGTCATCCGCAGCAGCGAAGGCGAAGCCAAAGCGCCCGTCTGCGGAACTTGCGGTCGCGGTACGCTAAAGGGCCGGCGCGTAGGCGTACTCACGGCCTGTTTCGCGGATGGCGCCTTCCGAGTAGCCTTCCGTGGTGTCGACGCAGCGAGGCCACTCGCAGATGACAACGACGCTGTCGCCGCGGTGGCCGCTGCGGGTGCCGCTGCGGGTGCCGTAGTCTCACCTTCAGCCGCAGGATCTGCAGCGCCATCCTGGTCCGGGTCTTGGCCTCGGTCCCGCACCAAGGGCGATTTGAAAGGTTTCCGGAGCGTCTCGTTTGCCGCGTCGATACGTCGGCGTTTCGCCGCCGGCGTAAACATGGCCTTATTTGATGTTTTCTCCTTTCGCGATAAGCCCTACGGTTCTTAACTTTGCACTTGTCGCCGGTTGCTTATCCTAATGTGCATGCAGGTGGGGGAAAGAGCCGCATGTAACAGGTAGGGCTGCGTCGTTCTTGGTAGGTGTTGCTGGAGGCTTCTTAGGTTGATCATAGCTGCCCCGGTGAGGACCTGCAAGAAGACGTGCCCACGCGCCACTTTTCAATTTCCAGACTCGAAGGAAGTGCATTCAAAGTTCCCGACGAACAGCCAATGCCATGAGAATCAAAGCACATTCACAGCACGTCTCTACGGGCCGCGCCGCAAGACGGTCTCAAAGTCACTGCTGCCAAGATCTTGGCTCATCTGTAGTACTGTCTCAAGGTCTGGATGAACGCGCAAAAATTGCAGATCAACAACTCATTCCAACTATTCAGCCATTGCCTATAGTAATCTACAGAAAATTGCACCAAACGCCCCGAGATCCTCCACCTCTTCCTACAGGCCAGTTTTACATGCTTCCCATCATTTCACGTGTCCGTGTGCACATCAGTCTCCCAAAGCCGTTTCGGAGATGAAGAACAGTCCCCATCGATCCGAATGAAGAACGAAATTGAAGCAAAATCAAAAACTTGTCCGTGGCCGATGTTGCGCCTAGCAATGCAGCATAATCCTCCGCCAATACAGAGGTAAAGAAGAGAATGGAAACTAAATATCCTACGTGACGCTAATGCCTTGAAGTGGAAAGAAAGAGGTATCATAGAACCAGATGCACTCCATTAATGGTCTGAAGAAGGCCAGAATGCAGATGAATGGTACGGTACATATAAAGCGTCAAAATAGCAGATACTTGAATTCAAGAATCTACCCGAACTCTTTTGGGTTCGTTGCCGGCCTCAGGACCGTCGTGCGGACCATTGGCACTGATCTCAGGACTTTTGCGCTTCGTGGTCTGATTGTCGTCTCGCAAGAAACTGGGACCGGAGCCAACGACTGGGGTCGCGAAATTGAGTGGACTGGGCAGTGTGTTGCTGTCACTGCCGCCACGAGCATACCACTCCGGATAGAAGCTGCTCGGACTGGGCAGAAATTCGTTATTTAAGAATCGGGATGGAAGGGCGGAAACAGGGGTGTCAATGTTCATATTAGTGCTTTGTTGCAGGGGTGGGCGAGCAAACGGGTTTGGCGGGCCCGTGGCGCCAGCTGAGAGGAGCGTTTGGGCCGACGGGGATGGCGGCGGCAGAACCATGCCGGAAGAATGCGAGTCGGATGCATGGCGCCGAGTCGTCTGGGATGTCGTGTCTGTCGAGTTGCGAGGAGAGTTTGACTCGGCAGTTGCGCTGCCGCCATCTGAAGGTTCGTCGGGAATCTCCACCCTCAAACGGGGACGCGCACCACCTCCAAGCTTCATGCTATTGGCGCGAGATGGTGTAGTAAATGTTGTCTCTGGGATTGAAGAAATGGAGATGTTGCGAGTCTTGTTTAAAGATTGAGTGCTGGCGCGTGGAGGCATGGGCGGAGAAGTCGTGGAACCATTGGTCCGAGATACTGCACCAACATCAACTGACTGAGAGCGGTTACCCTCAATCTTGATGTTGCTCTGATCAAGGAACGGCGGCCGATTAGGCTCTGGCTTTATGACATTCTGCTCAGAGGCGAATGAAGCTAAATGTTGAGACAGAATGGAGCGGTTCTCGTCAATGGGAGTAAAGATACTGTGCTGCTTACGCTGCGGAAGCTTCTTGATCGCGCTGTCAGTGTTCAGGAGAGGCGGCTGAGGCCTTTGCGGCAGCTCTGATCGCGGTTCCATCGGCGCCGGCATTGCCGTCTCTTCAGACTGCGGCGGCGAAGGCTGAGGCTGTTGCTGCTGCTGAGACTGCGGTGGTTGCTGTTGCTGGGGTTGAGGCGACGAATGCGGCTGCTGCTGCTGCTGCTGAGGCTCAAGTTGCTGTGGCTGTGGCGGCGGGGGTGAGATCTGAGGCGGTTGCGGCGGCAGTTGCTGAGTGGAAGGCTGTGGCGGAGACGGCGAGATCCGAGAAACCTGGGGCCCAGGTCCTTGCTGGCCCTGCTGTTGCGGATAATTGGGTGGCATGGAACGGCGCTGATCTTCCATATGCTGTTGCATGTGCGGGGGGTGATGATTGGGCGCGTACGAGGGGTACTGAGGACCATGTTGCTGATACTGCTGGGGAAGTCCGTGAGGCATGTTTGGCGGCATATTGGGCTGGTTCTGAGGATTATAGATGGCGGGGCTGGGCATGTAGGCAAATCCGTTGACGGGAGGCTGCTGAGGTCCGGGAGGGCCTACAGGTTGAGGGCCCATGTTCGGTCCCATCCGGCGGATATCCTGTCGGGAACCAGGCCGCGATCCCATTCCAGGCTGCGGTGTATGGCCGCGTTGCACGGGATGACCGGGATGTTGCGGGAAAGGCATGCCATTAGGGATTGGAGGTGAAGCTGAGGGAGTGTGGTGTCGCATATGGGGGAAAGGCGCTTGTCCTTGAAATTGAGGCGGAATCATGTGGGAGTCCTGTGGAGGCGTGCCTTCGGGATCCTCATCTTCGTCCTCGTCGTTGCCACCGTTGAAGTCTGAAGGGCCCTTATGTTCATTCGGGCCGCCGTGCTATCCCAGGGTTAGCTTCCGGATTTGGGCCTTGGAAGGAACGGAGGAGCTCACGTATGTGTATCTGGTGATCATCTCCCGCATGTCCGTGGATGAATATTCATACAGCTTCTTGTTGCTGCCGAAGATGAAGACGGCGACGTCCACGGAGCATAGCACGGAAAGCTCATGTGCCTTCTTGAACAAACCGCCTTTTCTCTTCAGAAACGTACTTTACGCGACGCGACAGTCAGCAAAGCCCTTATATGAAGCGCGAGGTACACTCAAGGTGTGAGCTTACACAGAGCGGTTCCTGTCATCCTTGATGGCCTTGATCTCAATCTTTCGGCGTCCCATTTTGAATCAGATGCTCCGGCGGGCTGTCGACGGGTATGAGGCAGCGAAGCGCGTTGGACAGAGACGAAAAGGTTGTCGAGGCGAGCGACTTCGTTGCCGATTGGCGATGTCGCGGCGGGGGCGGCGGCAGCGGCGTCTTCGAGGTCTCAGCCGTTGCAGTCGCGGTGTAGCGTCAACTGAACCTGGGAGAGAGGGTAAGAGTCTCGAGGAGGCGAGAGACTGGTAGAAGCTCGAAAGGTAGAGGGATTCGAGCTGAGCTGTATATTCCTGGTCGCAGCAACAAGCTTGGCTGGTCAAGGAAGCGTGGTGGAAACAAAAGTTCGGCCGGGGAGGGCTGATCGCTTTTATCTAAATGGCCTGGCTCGTGGGCTGTCGTTCCAGACTGGTGATGGGTCAGTCAAAAAGGCAAGACAAGGCAGCGCATCCCGGGAGCAACGATATATGATAAGCGGTGCAGGCAAATGCTGTCGGAGCAGGGGGAGAGGCAGAAGAAGACGACGACGCATCAAGAACGTACATTGATCCCATTACAAGTGCAGATGCGACAGGTCTGGGATGGACAGGCGATGTGAGGTGCAGGTCGATGGGGCTGAATCTGGCGTGGATGATTCTAATAATAGACGCGATCGTGTTCACTTTCTGGGTGCGGGAAGGCAGGACTGTTGAAGGAGGGAAGGGGGAAAAAAGAATCGGAGTGGGTGGTGGAGGGGGAAGCAACGGTATTAGGTGCAGCAGCGGTACAGTAAGGTAGGTAAGATGTAAGGTAGTAGCAGCAGCAAGGCAAGGCAAGCCAGCGACAAGAGTATGAGTGTGTAGCAGCAAGCAAATGAGTGGGAGCACTTCCGCCCAGTGAGGTTGCGGCAAAGAAAATAGGTGGAAATCGGGGAGCGGGAGCAGCAGTGCGGCAGCGCAAGCAGCATCAGCAGCAGCAACAGCAGCAGCAGCAAGCCAGCAGCTTGGAGACGGGAGGGAAAAAACGAGGACGGGGGGGATGACAAGGGATAGGGTCGGTGGACGAGCGAATCCTGGGCCGTGGACGCGGACTGGAGTCACTGGGACTGGGCGAGGAAGAAATAAAAGAGGGACTGGACGAGAGAGGGAAGAAAAAAAAAGGTACGGATAGATGAGGAGGAAAATGGGGCGGGGGGTCCGGCCTACTCTGAGGTGCTGACTGCTGATTGCTCCCGTCTGCCGCGTCCAGAAGCAGAAGGCAGACGGCGACGGCGGCGGGCCAGCGGGCCTCGTCTTCTGGCTGCAGGCCTTGCCAGTTTGCAGTTGGATGTGAGTGGACCACCTTGGGCTCACACTGCACACCTCTCCTGAGTCTCGGGCACCCTAGGCACTTACTAGGTCCTGCTCTCACCTCACTTGCGCCGTAGCACCTCACCCGCGTCCTCACCACCACCGACGAGGCAAGGTCGCGAGGACTCTTGGTGCGTGCGTTCTTATGACTGGGGGTCCTGGTGGCCGTTGCGGACGCTCGTGAAACAACAATCTGAGGAGGCAGGGAATGAGGTCAGGAGCTGAGACTGGTTGCCAGCACTGTGTGGCACCCGCCAAACTCGGTGATTCAACGCCGTGCCGAAACGCAATCTCCACCATCACTTTACGCACTGTCTCAGGGTCCGGTGGGTCCCACATGTACTAGCCCCAGCCAAGTAAGGTACCGGCCCCAACCTCGACGGCTCTGCCGCTAGTGAGACATTGCAGACAGGATACATGTGGCAGGTGTCGTCAAGACATCTGACGTCTAGCCGACGTGAGGCGCGTGCAGCCTGCGGCTTTACAACTGCGGATACTGCGAGATTGATTCCGGCGACAATACCTACGTCTCTTTCTTCCGCATTGCTTTGCTCGTTGCGTGAAGAGACTAATACCAGACCAAGACCAGAAGATCGAGGCCCCAAGACCACCTCTAGCGGAGAGCATTGACGTTCCGCAAGCCTTGACCTGGACACTTCGAGTGGACTTGACATGTGCCGAAACGCAGCACCAGACTCGTCCACCCTGGACCTTGCTCATATCCCAATCACATCACCAACAT